CCGCCATTGTCGCGCACGTTTTCCAAAGGGCCACCGCCCGCTATTGTATCGCCGCGACAATAGACTGATGAGCCGGCATTGTCGAACTCGTCGAACTGCGTTCGGTACTCGAAAGGGTAGCGAAGGAGAGACGAACGGACGGACAGAGAGATACATGGATACGAAGAGAACGAGGAGAGAGAGAGAGAGAGAGAGAGAGAGAGAGAGAGAGAGAGAGAGAAGAGGAGGATAGAGAACCGGGCGGTGGTAGCAGCCAGGGAATCGCTGTGGTGTGGTGGTGCGTGGGGCTCTGCCTCCGCAACCCGTTTCGAGAGTCAGCGGAGCGAGGCACTCAGACTCCAGAATGGGGTAAAAACTCAGTGAGTTTGCCCGTACTCCATCCAAGCCCCTCGCGCCCGCCCGTCCACTCGCTCGCTCCCATTCTCTCTCCCTTTCTCGTTGCGTTTCCCTCGTCCGCCCTTCTATGACTCTACCTTTCTGTCTCTCTATCTCTGTCTTTCTCTCTTGTCTCTTCCTTCCCTTCTCTCTTTCTCTCTTCGTATCGCTCGGCTCTCGGTTACGCGGCAACTAAGCCGAACATAAACTCGGCAGACGTCTCGTGGCAGGTAATATTTACAAACCATGAAACGAGCAGAAAGGAGAGACGGGAGTGAAGAAGAGGCAGCAGAGGGAGAGAAAAGGCGAGGTAGAAAAAAAGGGAAGAGAGAGAGAAGGAGAGAAGGAGGAGAAAATCAAAGAACGAGAGACAGAGAGGAAGATGCCGCGCAAAAGCGGCGCCGACTAGCTCTCCATCAGAGCACACATCCATCCACTCGGAGAGTCATCCGCTAGAAACGAGTAGCTGGCCCGAAAACCACGACTTTTTCGACAAGTCGGATTTTATGCGAAAGTCTCGAAGAGACTCTCGTGAGCTGGCGTGATTACGCGATTCTATGGATTCACGGATGATGACGTTGGTGGCGACGTTTCAAGATCTCAAGTGCGCAATGTTATTAGGCATGTTTCCGCGTTACACTCAGAAATTGGAGAGCGTAATGGACTCGAGCGAAACAACGAAAATTACATGTTCCGTGCAAAAGCCGCGGGAACCGCCCTTATAAAATAGGAAGGAAAAAACTGAAGAAACGAGAAAATAGAGGGAACGGGGTCTACTTTTTCCAGGCAAGCAAAATTCGTTCGAACAAATATCAAGTGTGTCGATTTGCCAAATTGTATGCTTGCCGCGACAAATTATTGATCGATTCAATGATTGCGATGAGCCGAGTAACCGCATCGAGACAGTTTACCATCCTGTCAACACGTTAATTCGCTTAATGCATATGATTTGAACGGAGGCGTCCTCGTCGGATTACCCGTCCTTTCCTCTCGTTGCGGCAGTTGCCCTTCGATCGCGTATAATCACCGCAATATTTACGACATTTATACCGCGTATAATTACTCTTCCCACGAATGTACACAGAAAAAAAATTAGTATTCACTTAAAACCGATATATTCAAATCAACAATTATTGCTTCATGTATAAATAACGATGTACAATTTTATTAGTAAAATTTTCAGCTCCTGAATTTTAACCAACGTTATAATGTTACTTGGATATTATAATAAACTCATAAGAAATGTATTATGATCATTTTGATGATTATTATATTTTTTTCGACATTTTTTAAATTATATTCTCAATCTAATATTTTGTGCTTTCCATTAATAAAAGTAATTTTTGAACAACAAGAATAGATCTTTCTTTTTTGTTGGATAATATAAAACATATTCTTAATAACTTATTTTTATTTAACGCTGTTATGTAATCTCACTTGAAGATTAACACGTTAAAAGTAAACAAATTTTCCAAACAAAAGAATGAAGATATTTCCTCTTTTCTGTGTATCTCGTGAATTAAGTGATGTACACATACCCAGGCGAAACGAAAAACCACGAAAACATCAAGATGATGTCCAAGTGACGAGAAAACGGTCAAAAGAGATCCTTGTCGATCACGATCGATCATTTTCTCGTCGTCTTGACGTTGTGGCGATTTTCTATTCCACTCGAGTAATCGCTCTCGCGCGCAAAAGAGATCGCCCATTTTTGGTCCACAAACGGATTTTGATGAGATATATATCCTTTGAAGAGTGCGATTCCATAAAACCATCTTTTATTCAAATCTGAATAGCGTGACTAAAGTTAGAAGTCGCTAAAGCATCATATATTAAGTTGGCATATTTGACGTTGTAAATGAAAGGAATCTCTCGATTTAATTAATATGATTAAAATAGAATGCAGATACACAAAAGAAATACTTTGATTCCGAAAATAATGAAATAAATATGTGAGAAAAGCGAAATATATAAAAGAATGTAACCACACTATGGCAATTTTTTTATACAATACGAAGTTGAGTGACATTAAAATATTTTTGCACAAGTGTTAGTTTGGAGTCTAAAATTAAAAATATATGATCCTAGCCCCAATGTGAGCTTTGGGGGATCAATATATAATATCCAAAAAGTGCAAGATCAAAAAGTGCATGTTTTCCAATGAATTTTTTTTTCGGAAAATCAGTTAAAATCAATTCTAAAATATCAACACTATATAAGATATATAAGATAAATTAGAAAATGTGTGACAGATAAAAAAAGGTGATTGTATTGATCCTAAAGTCACTAAAATAATTAACTAATGTTCAACTTTAGTGCCGATATCTTAGGAGCTTCAGATCGTTATGAGTTTGGTGCATCGAATTTTTCTCGGTACTTTCATTTGATATTTGTTTCATTCCATTTCGTTTATGGACCAAAAACTCCCTATTTTGGACAATCTCCTTTACGAGAGAGAGAAAGAGAGAGAGAAAGATAGAGAAAGTCATAACGCGGGCGCACATTGCAGCCATCCTCAAACGATGAGCTGCTAAGTCGCACGAGTCGCGCGAGGCTTGGAAACGTGACTATCGTTGCGCCATAAAGGCAAGCGACGCGCGGTTCCTGTAGTTTTTATAAAAGAGCCCCGTGCGGTCGTTAAACTTCCTCATTTTCTCCGGCATAAGACGGCGCCTTGTATATATCCGAGGTAATGTCATCGTCGCAACGTTTGCTTTTCGAGGTCGCTGTGCATCGTGCGACGACGAGCGCCGCAAACAAAGAACGACGACTGCGAATCCTCGAATGCGCGTTACGTCGACTCGCGTATTGTTCCTTCGTTTTTCGTCCCGTTAAAATAAATAACGAGCGAACGGTACTCGAGCGAGCGCAAAATGTTCGTCGCGCCGCCACAGCAAACGCGAACTCTACCGGGCCAAGGTGTGCTCCGATCCGTTCGGAGGCCGCCGCGAGCTTGTTACGAAACGACACGCGTTGCGTTCTCGAACGAGAAGATTCAGCGCGAATTCTTGCAAATAATAGCCGACGGCCGACGATGGTTCCCCTTCCGCCGTGTCTCGCGTTATCTTCACCTCTCGTCCGCAGCGACATGCTACAAGGGATCGACGAAAATAATGGCTTGTTCGTCTCATAATTCTGCACGGATACAGCGGAGGTTATTCCCGCGAGGCATGTGTTTCGATCGTTTCTAGTCGAACGTGCACCACTAACAAACGAAACGTACCGTCTCTCCTCTAGAACCGTTCCGATATCCACGAAATAATTGATAGACTGCCAGTTTCGGCTCGTATACGAAGTTTGCGCGACTTACTCGCTGGGACATCAACTGCTAAAAGCTTTCTTCACAACGACGCGGAGTCGAGCTTGCAGAGGCAACCGAACTCTCGCATGATTTTAACGCGCGTGTTTCTTTATTTTTTGTTTTTTTCTTATTTTCTCTCTCTCTCTCTCTCTCTTTTTGGCCTCTCACGAAATAAAACGTCGCGATTGCTTACGGAGACTCTTCGAGAGGGAAACGGGAGAAACGACGTTACCGACGGTAAGCAGCAGCAACGCGCCCGAGCGATCGCGCACGCAGTCGTATCAGTTTTGTTTCCAAAATAGGGGAGGCGTACGGGAGAGATTTTTCTCGAAGAAGACGAAGTGCGCCAAAGTTGGCGGGTCGGCGTAGCGAGGAGACGGCTCGAAGGCTGTGGAAGGATGAAACCGTGCAGGATGAGCAAAAAGGAAATGGCTGAGGCGGAGACTAGGGGCTGACGCGGCAGAGGTACCAGGCATGAATCTGAAAAGGTATGGGCTGCGTTCACGCGACGATGATTTACGGGCGTATTAGGTCGATAAGATATCTTCCGGTTCGTTGACCCGGCGGAAGCTCTATTTTTGAAGGCGCCTCGCGGCCTCCTTTTACTCCATTTATCCGTCCCCGCCGCTTTCTCTCTCGTCGTCTTCTACTTCGATACTCTCGTAGACGCGAGTTTTGGAAGGTATCGCGCCGGTCGAGCAAAAAGAATCGGCGCCGTAGACGGATCCGCTGCCGTTAACATGATTTCAGTGACGAAGCACAGCGCGCGAAACGCAATTTCCAACAATCGTGAGATCCGGCATCATACGCGTGTGTGCGCGTAAGAAAGAAAAAAAGAAAGAAAGAAAGAGAAAGAGAGAAACCACGTTTCTCTTATAAAGTGAACAAATATCGAAAATTCTCGCACAGAAACTCTGTTACTTTCAATAGAGCGTGTCGGAAATTAATGGGATGTTGGAGACTCGAGCCCGACAGGGTACAGCTCTTATCCACTTAAATTGAGGTCTCGGATTCGACCGCGAACAGAAAGTCACATTATTTAAATCGCCCATGACCATGTCGCTCGCGCGACACGTGATTTATTTAACCACCTAACAGGCGATATATACCTGATGTTCGGAATCATAGTTGCCAGAAACCACGATCCCCTTAAATGAAATAAAAAATTGCGGTTTTGGCTCTTAGCCACTCAATTATTACTCCGCATCTCGCCGCAGCGAGAGAGACAGAAAGAAAGAAACAAAGAGAGAGAGAGAGAGAGAGAAAAAGAGAGAAAGAGAGAGGGGGAGGAGGGAGGAAGAAGAAGGGAGACTCGTTATTTAAATTTGTCGACCACGCTCTAATAATTTATGTAACCTTCAACACACGCGATAGATGACATTGGAGCGCTTCTGGATTACGCTCGCCAGAGCTGTGTTTTTCCGTTAAATAAAACACCGAAAATTCGTGCATTCAGGCGTCTCGCCGCCATCCGATCACGCCCCGATTACTCCGGATGGGAGCAGAACGCCTCGTTACTTAACGTCGTCGACCGCCACGGTGTGGCACGAGATACGTAAACGTGAGACGGAAATTTCATCTCATCTGTCGCTGGACCAGCGGCGATCGAATCCGTGAGTCGTGAACGTGAACACGCGGATAGACACGCGCACGCGCTCGCTTAGAATGCGGTGTGGTCGTCTATGTACGACTTACGTGTGGAGGATACGACTATGACGACCACGAGTATCACCGCCATGACGACGACGACGACGACGACGAGGACGGCGACGGCGACAGTAAGCGACGACGAAAACGACGGAGAACGCGAGGAGAGACCGCATGATGCAGATAACGAGCGAGAAGTTTCACGTTGACATACCTGCTCTGACAGTGACGTCTCTGCTAACGACGGCGCCGACGCTGTTGACGGCTGAGCATTTATAAATGGCCCAGTGGACGTCCTGCCGGAAGGCCTCGGCCTCGAAACCGGGAAAGTGAATCGTCCCGTTGCCAAGGACATGCCTGATGCCGGGTATGTTGCTTATACTGCCGCCGTCCGCCGCCAACCAGTCGACAGTCGGCAACGGATTCCCTCGCACGGTGCAGTCCACCCTGCCGCCGTTCACATTCGTGAACTCCACTCTGGACGGCGGCTCCGTCACGAAACTGGGCCCCTGCGTCTCGTAGGAGGCGTTGGAACCTGCGAAAATCAAATACCACGGGTATACATCAGAGGTTTTGCTAGCGCGCGCACGCACGTAACACACAGGCGCGTGCCAAGCCTCTTAGCCACATTCAATTAAGATTACCGGTCCGAATACATATCCCACGGATTTCCTTCCGCCCGCAGTTCATTATTTGTTCCGCATCGCGGCGTCGTGCAACTTTAAATACGCTCTGAAATTTCCATCAGTCGCGCCTCGGCGTTTCGCGATCCCCGCCGCGAAAATCTCGCGAGAGCATCCACCGTATTGTCCGCCAATCTTTCATTCGTAGGCGCAGTTTCGCAACCTGCGCTACGGCGCCGGGGCGTTGGCGTTTTATTTCATAATTCTAACGTGCGCGCTCCGCAAATTCTCGGAGCATTACGAATAACAATCAGAAACGCATTAATCACGGTGTCAGCGAATGGACACTCTCGGTGGTCTGGATTTTTCGTTCCCGCCGGCCGAATGCGAAGTAATTTTCCGAGGGGCAGAAGAGGGGGGGGGGACGGCAGTCGTAGAACGAGGGTAGTGTGTGTGTATGTGTGTGTATATGTGTGTCTGTATGTGTGCGCGCGCGCACGCGGTGGGACGCGCACTGTATCGTCGACGGACATGAACGAAGATAATACGCTCGGCCATAAATCATACATTTAACGCTGAAATTCGGCCGTAATAGCTTCCATAAATGGAGCGCATTGCGTCCCCCCCGAAGCCTGTTAACCATTCATCACCCGAGTTATGTTGATTTAAGTAGGAATGCCGGCCCGTTGCGATGTATTCCGCATTCCGTCCAGCATTGCTCATCTGGAAGCCAGCCCAACCAAGTACAGAATATCCCACAGAACGTGCAACGAATGACGCGCGCGTTCGCGGCGTATTTCCGTGTACGCGCGCCCGACAAAATCACGATCGATGCGAAAACCACGTGTTTTGACCGTTTCGCGGTCCCTCGCTCGCGCGAGACTCGCGTTTTGAGTCTGCGAGCTTTTTCTTTCGTACGGCGAGAAATCGTAATTACGGGAGTATATCGCGATTAGATGATTACCTCGGCAAATGGGTGCCCCTATTATTTCATGCATTGACTACCAACTCCGTGCAAGTGAATGCACTGAGCGCTTAATCGCCCTGCTCCGCGAGGACACGCGCTCTCCCGTTTCTTGTCTCCGACATGGCGCGGACCCGAGACCCGAGCAAGTCCCTTTTAGCGGCCGAATGTACCGTAGGAGACGACACGTCGAGAGTTATTTGACCGATTTTCCAATGAGCGCTTATTCCGGCAATTCCCTCTCTTACGCGCCCGCCAGGCGAACTTAAATCTTGATTACTTATCTTCTATAAGCTAAAGCAACGTTCCTAGTAAGGGCTTGGGATTCCCCTCCCTCGTGACATCGTCTTTCGGACGCGCACGTTCGAATCCGGAAAGTTATCGTTTTCTCGAAAAAGAAAATCGTGGACTTCGCCATAAAAGCTGTAGTACCCGGCAAAGATTTACTTCCTACCTTATCCTTTCCTCCTTCTTCCTCCCTCTCTCTCTCTCTCTTTCTCTCTTCCCCTCCCTTCTCTCCGTCCCTGTCTCTCCCTTCGCCTTCTCTCTCCCTTTTCTATCCTCCATTCCCTACAGCTAGAGAGCTGCTTTCGAATCTTAAGCGCCGCGCGTACTCCACCATCGCCAGAATAGCCAGTACGCTGCAGACCTGCGATTGGATATATCTTGCGACCTACATTCCCCGGGCTCCGTAATCATTTCCCCGCGGAAGGAAGGCGGCCTCGCATAAAAAGTTAACTCTTCATCTTCCGAGAGTTCTCGGGAGTTCGCGTTATAATTCCGCCGCCGTATAGCCGTCTGACGTACGACGTCGGTCGCCTCGCGATTTCATCGTTACCGGTGCATCCAGATTAGTGTATATATATACATGTATCAGAAATATGATCTTGAAGCCGACCCTCCCCCTCCCCCGTTCCGTCTCGGACGAGATAGGATTACAAACGCGACTGCCAAGAGCTCCATCGGGGGAGATTAATCGCGCAAAAATTTTATCCCTCGCCTCGCGACAACGAGACGCGACTCGCCGTGAAATGAAATCCCGCTCATCGGTAACGTGTCGCTGATATAAACTCTCCAACACTTTCCAAGAGAAATTATCATTGTGCAATTAGTAGGTTGCAAAACAGTTTGGAAATTCACCAAACTATCAAAATTAAGAGTCAATATTTTGTGTGTGTTTGTGTAACATGTTAGCCCAATAATTACATTATTACATTATTAACTATTATTACTACTACTATTATTATTATTATCATTATTATTAGCGTTATTATTATTTAGTGTTTTTAATTACGTTATTATTGCGTAATTCTGTCGTTATTGATTCTCAATTTTGACAGTTTAGTGAGCTCCCAACTTTATTGTGTCAAAAGCGTTTTGCAATCCACCGTACAATGAATGAACACTGAAAAACTCACTTAATTGAGTTAACCAAAATTTGGTTAAAATAAGGTGGAACAAATGTTTTGGTTGTGAGAACCAATATTTGGTACTTTAAACCAATGGTTTGATTCTTTGAAACAAAAATGAAACAGGTTTAGTTTCAGAGAATCAAATCTTTGGTAGAAAGAACGAAATTTTGGCCCTCACAACCGAAACATTTGTTCGTCCCTATTTTAACCAAATTTTGGTTAACCCAACTAAATGAATTTTTCTGTGAAGAGGATATATTCTTGTGGAAAAAGAAAGAGGACACGTTTACGACATGTAAATGCGACGAGAAGTCCCTACTCGCAAAACAAATAGATCACGTAAAAAGACACGTCGCAGGAACGAACTAAGAGTTAATTGGGCGCGAGCCAAATGCGTTCAGGACACACTGGCTCATCGACATGGCTAAACAATGGACGACGAGTAGAGGGATGAACGAGCGCGCAGCTAAGGGTTGCATGCAATCTGGCACGTACTCGACTGCACACCCTCTTCGGGTGCGTTCAGAGACCGCGCATTGGAAAGAGAGGGCACGCGCGATCACCAGCCACGTTGGCTGTCGCAGGCGATACGAGAGACGAGTAGGCTACTACCGTAACACCCCGTCAACCCTCGACGTCATCGCGAGCGTACAACCGAAGACGCGCACTTGTGCTGCTTCTTCTTCAGCGGCCGTTGAAGAGACTGGACGAGACGAGGGCGCGGCGACCAACCGTATAATGTTTTGTGTCAACATCCTTCGAGAATTTACCCCCATCTTCCCAACCGTCCCGAGTGCCGTTTTTATTCACGCGCCCCCGGACCACGCCATATCCTTCCGCGAAATAACGCTAGTGCTATCAGGACACGTTCGACGAAATACCGACGACGATTGTAAAATTTTTCTTCGCCCAATAAAATATAATGCTATTCTTATCGGATATCCTCTTGCATATGGCTTCAAGACGATTCCTCTAACACCAAAATGGAGGTATTCCAACATTCCAACAAGAATTCTAGTCGCAAAGTGTTATTTCCTTTATAATCCTATATTCGAAATAAAAATTTTTACTGAAAAAAGTATTTTTCTTCTATTGAAGTGAATTATTAATCGGAAATCTACTATATATCATTCTAACGTTTTTCCAGCTGAATCAAGAGAAATATATTTACTTGAAGCAGAATGTCCTGTGAGAAATTTCTATTCAGAACAAAATTTGTACTGTAGATAAAGCGAAATTTCCCGAATTTTAACAATATTATACTTAAAATGTTCCCCTTTTGGTTTCAAACAAGTCCTCTTGGGGTTATATATAAGGTGTGTTCCTCACCAACTCCCAATTATTGAAAGGACAGATAATAGGAATGAAATCGAGACGAAAAGTCGATTTTCGATTTTCGATACAAGCAGTAGTTAACAAGTTATTAATTAATCAAGTTTGATGATTAGCACGCCCTAATTGGCGGATCACAGATAGCGCCGCGCATCGAAAATTCGAATTCTCGCCTCTTAGATTAGCTTCATCATTCTGATCAGTGGTAAAAGGAGCTCACTAATCAAAATATCAAAGCTGTTCCAAAAGGCGAGAGAGTTTGTATTTTTTTTCGGAGCGCGGCTGTGGTTCGCCAATTAGAGCGTGCTAAGCATCAAATTTGATTAATTAATAACTCGTTAACTATTGCTCGTATTAAAAAAATGATAAAGAATTTTTCATCTCGGTTAGCTTCAATATTTGAAGTGACGGTTAGTATGAGACACTCTGTATGTAAGAGAGAATATCTTCTAAAAATAAGATTCTATTTTTTTGGGTGTTTCCTTTGTTTTTCTTAAATGTATGGAGCTACTTGGGAAAACAATATACAGGATCCGCCAAAGAAAACTTTCCACCCCGATTCTAATGCCATAAGATAACACCAGAAATTCTTAAAAATGTTCATAGCAATTTTAAATAAAGACTATAATTCTATGAAAATTAGTAAACGGCACTTTGAACATTTAATAAAATAAATCTTTCTGTAAATTGTGAATTTTCAATTTTTTGTACCTAAAATTTCCAAATGCGATTTTTCAAAAAATATTCACTTACATTAAAACATTCAAAAAATATTCACTTACATTAAAAAAAAAACCTATGTGAAGAGAATTAAAATATCTTTGAAATGATATATTATTTGAGCCTATTACTATTTAAGATTTAATTGCTAAAAGATTTTGGGAAGTGGCTACTCTAATTAAGGGGATAAAGTAATATAGTTAAATTTAAAAACAATCATTGAAAATAATATTGATGTGGAAATTTTTCGTTGGCGGACTCTATATATATCCGGATCGTTAAAATATCTTTGCAGTAGTAATGGAAACGCCTGGCGAAGAAGAAAACCAATATAGATGTATATATTATGCATGTCAAAAAAATTATACGTTTAATTCGCAATTCTTAACATCTGAGTGACATTGAGTCGATAATTTCGCGTTGCCGCGTAAATATTCTACGCTACTCCATAATATAATTCTATTTTGAAAATCCGTGATAAGTT